CTTGTGCCCTCAGTGTGGGAAGGGAATGGATTTAAATGGGAAGAGAGGGGCTTGAGGTTGGATATTGGGAGGAAATGGATGAGGCCTTGGGAGCTTTGCCATTCCCTGGAAAATGAGCCAGTCCAGTTAACAAGGAATGGTGACCTGCTGGAGCAACACATGAGCGCTCCGGGGAGGAGGAGGAGGAGGAGGAGGAGGTTGGGGGACAGCGAAGGACGGGTGGTTTATAACTGTTGGTCGGAGTTAATGGGAATAAATTCCTCACTCGTGATGCATTAACTGGAATGTTTTCAGCCCGGGATGATTTAGGTTTTCCCTTTTTATGCCGTAAATCAAACGTTGGCCCAGAAGCTCAGCGGGTCGAGTGTCTGACACGGTGTTGTGGGTGGGGGGGAGAGAGTTACATGGGTTGGATATTTATATATTTATATATTTATATATTTATATATTTATATATTTATATATTTATACATTTATACATTTATAAATGTATATATTTATATATTTTTATATTTATATATTTATTTATATTTTTATTTATCTCTTTATTTATATAATTGTTATATTTATATATTTTGATTATTCTTTATATATTTATATATAAATAGATATTTCCTTATATATTTAAATATTTCCTTATATATTTATATATTTTTATATTTAGATATTTTATATTTAGATTTTTTATATTTAGATATTTTATATTTAGATATTTATTTATATATTTATATACTTATTTTATATTTAGATATTTCCTCTTATATTTAGATTTTTCTTGATATATTTAGTTATATATTTAGATATTTATTTTATATTTAGATATTTCCTTATATATTTAGATTTTTCTTGATATATTTATATATTTATTTTATTTAGATATTTCCTCATATATTTAGATCTTTCCTTATATTTTTATATATTTATTTTATTTTTAGACATTTCTTTATATCCTTATTTTATATTTATATATTTCTACATTTATTACCTTACACTGTTTTATTTTTAAGAGGATTTTAAACCCAATCCCATCCCCTGGCAGCCCGTGGGTGGGTGACCAGCCAGGCAGCCCCATCTGAGCAGGGAATTTCGAGATGCAGCTCCCAAGCACCAGTTTCCATGGCAACTCCCCAAATCCACTTCGGTGCTGAAGAGGGTTTTGTTTCTTTTATTTTGTTTTTTTTTTTCTATTTTCCCCTCCCTCTCTGCTGAGTGGGAGCCCTTGGCTAATGAGCTGTGCAAATAGATATTGAGATTTAGTGGGTTTTATTTTGCAATTATAGACTTAGTGATTTGGAAGGGAACTTTTTTGGGGCCAAAGGCTCTTCCTCCTCTTGGAATTTTTTTTTTGGTTTTTTTTGTTTTGTTTTTTTTTTTGCCTTTGCCAAAGTTGGTTTGACTTCAAACTTGCTGTTAAATTTCCCAGACGGAATTAAAACAAATGTGAACAACAACAGGAGGTTTTCCACCCCTCCAGGGGCTAAATCCCAACCCAACCCACACCCAACTTGTTGCCATTGGGTGTCTCTTCCCTTGTTGCTTCTCAACCACAAATCCCACAGTTTTTCCTCTGGAAAAACCCCAACGGATCCAACACTAATTCTGGGCCCAGCAAAGTTCTTTCTGTACATTCCCTGTTTGTTTGTGTTCAGTTCATTGTGGTCAAACCAGGGCGTTTGGGGTGATGCTGTTAATTAGGAGCAATGCTGTTAATTAGGAACTGCTCCAGCCCAGGGGAGAATTGTGGTTTTCTGGAGCAAATTCCATGGATTTGGGGCTGGCTCCTGACTGGCAGCACTTGTCAAAGGGAGTGGGACTGGTTAATCTTGGTCTCTGCCTTATCCTGGGGCTGTTTAATCCCAATCCCTGCCCTCAATCCTGCTCTGCCCTGGCTGCTGCCAAGAGCATTTCCCAATTCCCTGCCTGTCCCCAGGGAAAAGCTCCGGCCTTGGCTGCATTTTTGGGATAGGCTCTCCGGGCTGGGATTCTCTGTGGCATCCAAGGGCTCCAGGCTGAGCACAGGGATATTTCAGGGTAGAATTCCCACTCCATGAGCAGCCACGGAGTGTTTTAAGGGGAAGGGAGGCTCCTTCCATCCTGATTTTCCTGCTGGGAAACTGAGTGTCCTGCACAGGGGGGACAGATTTGGGCTCCTGGTGGTGCTTCAGAGCCCCCAGGGATTTTCCAGCCGGGCAGATCCTGAGGCTGGACAGGGCTTGGAGCAACCTGGGCTGGTGGAAGGGGTTGGAAGTAGGTGGTTATTCCAGGTCCTTTCCAACCCAAAGCTTCCTGTGATTCCCTGATCCCACAATTCCACGAGCCAGGGCCACAAATAACCCCAAACAGGGGCTGTGCTTCCATGGGCCACAAATAACCCCAAACAGGGGCTGTGCTTCCATGGAAAATTGATCTCAAACAGGGCAAAGCACAACAACTGGAAAAGCAGCAGCTCTCCCGGGGGTCCTGCTTCCAGCAAAACGATGGATGGAGACAGGGAATGCGGGGCTGGGAGAGCTCCCTGTGGCTCCCATCCCATCCCTGCTGCTTCCCTGCTCCCCAAATCCCTCTTGGCAACCGCGGGAAGAGCAGGAAGCCTGATATATATGGGCGGACCCATCCCAGCCTCGGGATGCTGAGCAGCGACATCATCCCTTTCTCATCCCGCTTTTCCAGAGGTGCTTTTCCAGCGGGAGCGGGGGGCAGCAGAGGGGAAGCCCCCGCTGGGAACGCGCTGCAAGTAAATGAAATTAAAGAAGCGAAGCGGCGCTCGCAGCTCCCTTTTTCCTCCCCCTCTCCTTCCCCTCCCGGGTAATTCAATCCCAGCTCCCGGCGCTGATGGGATCTCGCCGGGGCCGCCTCCGTCCCCCCCGCTGCGGGAAAGGTTCTTAACGGCGAAATAAAAGTTCCACTCGAGCGTTTGGGGTTGTTTTTTTGGTTTTTTTTTAAAGCTCCTGCCAGCGGGATGGGCGGCGGGCACGTTAATGGAATGTTCACCCTCGCAGGGTCTCCCCGGGCACCGTTCCCGTAAATTATGAGTGTCCCGGAAAATGACATTTTGGTTTTTGGTTGTTTTTTTGCTTTATTTTCAAGGAGACTGTGGCTTTTTTTTTATAAGGCAGATGCTCAGAGTGGCTGCAGAGGGTTTGTGCCAGGCAGGTGTGTTCACCTGGGCACGGAAGGGGGGTGCCAGGGAGAGGAGGGCACTGAGGGAGCTCTGGCCCCTCCAGGGGCTGAGGCAGAGCGGGATTATAAAACCATAAAATATAAATTATAAATTTATTTTTAAATTATAATATAATTATATATATATTATAATGTATTATATATAATTATACAATTTATAAATATATATTATATATTATATATACATAATATATTTATAATTTATATTTATTATATAAATATATTGTATTATATTATGTATATATTATATATATAATATAATATATATGAATTATATAATATACATTATATATTATATATTATATATAAACTATATCATTATATATAATTTATATATTTATATATAAATAAATAAATTATTTTTATATAATATATGTATATATAAAATATACATAATATATTCATATATATTATGTATATATAATATCTATAATATATATGACTTACATAATATATATTATATATTATATATTATATATTATATATAAATTATGTAATTATATATAATATATTTATATAATATAAATGATAAAATTACAAAGTAAAATTATAAAATCATTGGAAGGGACCTTAGGGATCATCCAGTTCCAATTCCCTGCCGTGGGCAGGGACACCTCCCACTGGAGCAGCCCTTGGATAGGGCTTGGAGCAACCTGGGCCAGTGAAAAGTGTCCCTGGGGAGTTGGAAGTAGATGGTCTTTAAGGCATCCAAGATTCCAGGATTTTATGAACCAGGACCACAAATAACCCCAACCAGGGGATCTGCTTCCATGGAAAATTGATCTCAAATGGGGCAAAACACAAGTGGGAAGGCAGGAGCTTCCCCGGGGGTCCTGACTCTGGGTTTGGGGGGGAGTTTTGCCCTCAGTGGGGTGAGTTTTGCCCTCAGTGGGGTGAGGAGCCCTGATCCAGAGCAGACCTGGGATGAGGGAATTGTGTTTTCCAACCAAGCAGCTCCTCCTGGGAGCTCCCAGAGAGCCTTGGCTGGGGGGAGAAGGGCTGAGCATCCCCCTCAGCCCTCTGTGCATCCCTGAGAACCACAATCCTGCCTTCCCTGAGGACTCCTGGGAGCCTTTTCCCTCTTGTGGGAATCTGGTGGGATCGTGGCAGACCGTTCTTTTCACCTCCAGCTCTGGCTTCTCCTGCAGAGAAAGGAGCTGAGGGTGTGTGGGAATGGGAATGGGGAATCCCAAGGTTTTCCTTTGCTTTGCTCCCTGCAGGGCTGGAGGAGAACCCACCAAAGCCCGTCCCGGATACAGGGAACATCCTGAAGCAAGGATACCTGGAGAAGAGATCCCGAGGTAAGACCTGGAATCACAGGGTAAGGAATCACAGAATTGCCAATAATTCGAGTTTTCAGGGGAAGAACAAGCAGGAAAACACATTTTTTTTTTCCTGCACATTTGCACAGGCCAAATGTGCAAATTTTCCTTCTCATGGACGAGGAGAGGGCCTTGATTTTTTTTCTCTTTTGCAGATCATCCAACTGCACAAAGATTAAACCCCCCCAAAAAATCGAATTAAGCAGCAGCCCAGCCCTCTGAGGCAAAATGTGCCCTTTTAACCAGCGATCCCTAATGAGGATAAAACCCCAGTTGGGAGCATCACGCACATTAAGGGCTTGAGATAAGGCCTCTGAGTCAGCCTCGGGTTTATCTCCATTTTTACCAACTCCTGTGAAAGCCACAAATTATTTCCTCATCACTCCGATTTTATCCTGATTTATTTACTCTGTGACGGGGGGAGGAGGCAAGAACAGCCCCTTTTTTTTATCCCATGAGCTGAGTTTAGGACTTGGTGCTTGGTTTAGCTTCCTCCAGCTGCAGATTAAAACTTCTTTTACTTATATATATATATATATATCAGGGAGTTTTAACCCAAAGAGTGTTCCTGCCCTTTTAGCATCACATCTGTCTGAGACATGCAGTGAAAGGACAAAAATGAGTATTTTTCTCGTCTTTTGATGCCCTTTTCTTTGGCAGATCACAGCTTTTTTGGGGCAGAGTGGCACAAGAGGTGGTGTGTCCTCAACAGAAAGACCTTCTACTACTATGCCAATGAGAAAAGTAAGTGGTGAGAGAGAGACACACCTGCATTTGTTCCCAAAATATACAGGGAAAGGACTGGAAAAGAGAAGGGAAGAGCCTTTGCTGAAGGACTGGATAATATCTGACCTGGGAAGGCTGTTATTAATCCCTTATCGAGGTTCTAGAAAGGTGGAGCTCAGCTTGATTTAATTTTTTCACCTCTTGATGGGGATGAAACGAGAAAAAAGGGACAAGGAAAGGAGCTGGGAGGGGGAATAAAAGGCTGTTCCAAGTTTTCCATGAACTCCAACCCCCCGTGCTTGTATTTAATCCTCGTGCCAGTGGATACCAATATTTTGTTGTTGTGCTCCATCAGGTCCATCCCAACAGATGGATGGGCTTCCCAGGATTCCAGAGGCAGGAAAAGGCCTTACAAATCCCCCCCCATCCAGGAATGAGCTTCCCAGGATTCCAGGGGCAGGAAAAGGCCCTACAAACCCCCCCCATCCAGGGGTTCCAACCCGCAGCAGGGACGGAGTTAAACCCCGAGGGGGGTCTGAGGGTGAAGATGGGTCTTTGTCGGGTCTTTGTCGGGTCTTTGTCCTCCTCCTCCCACGTCCTTTGTCCGAGGAGCTCCAGCACTTTTTGTTTTCCCAAACGAGCTTCCCAACTCCTCCCATCCCAACCCCCGAGGTCTGATCTGCTGCCGGGGGTGGGAGTTGAACCCCGGGGGTGAGTTTTGGTGGTTTTTGGGGTTGTTCACTCCGGGTTTTGGGGGATGAGCAGTTTTCACCTCCCAAACAGTCTCCAAAGGAATCCTGGGCTCCGTGGGTTTCGGCGGGATGGAATTCTTGTGGAAACTCCCAAATTTAGCCCGTTTTTCTGCTTCCAGGCAAGCAACCCAGAGGCACCTTCTCCATCGAGCGCTACAGCGCCCGGCTGGTTTCCCACCTCCGCAAGGATTCCCGGAAAAAATGCTGTTTCGAGTTAACCTGCCCCGGCAAACGCACCTACGAGGTAGGAAACGGGGATAAAACATGGAATTCTGGGCTGGGAATAAAAGTCCTAGATGTGGGGGTTGAGGTGCAGGCTGGACCTGCAGGGTCGGGAGGGCTGGGAATGTCTGAATTCCTGGGGAAATTCCGATTTGTTTTCGCGGCGAGGGTGGCACAGGTTTCCCGGAGAGGTGGTGGTGGATTCCCAATCCCTGGAAACACCCGAGGTCAGGTTGGATGAGGCTCTGAGCAGCCTGGGCTGGCTGCGGGTGTCCATCATTTCAGGGGTCGGTGGGTCGGGTGGCCTCCAAAGGTCGCTTCCAACTCCAAAAATTCCATAATTCTGCGATTCCATGAAAACAAAACCAGCAGCACCTCGGGAAGGGGCTTCTCCCCACCTCAGCAGGGACCTTCCCTGGGTGATCCTGGGCTCTCCCAAGGGATCAGGGAGAACAGGGAGTGGAACCAGTGGAGGATCGAGTTGGAAAAGCCCAGTTTTAACCAAACTCTCCTGAACCAGGTTAAATATAAACCTGCAGTTTATTGAGCATCCAGGGGGGAGCCTAAAAATCCAATGCACAGAGTGGGAATGAGAGCCTGGATGGGCTTCAGGGAGATTTGGGATGCTGGGCCCTGGATCAGGGGCGGCAGCAGAGCCCGTTCCGTGGGGATCGTGGTTTATATCTGAATTATTTTAACCAATTAAGCTTGACAGGCTCCCTCTGGGATGGCTCTGGCTTTGTCCTGCTGCTCTTTCCCCGCTTGGAATAGGGAGATAAAGCCGTGGAATGGCTTTTCCCGCTGTCCCAGGGTAGACAATGGCAGAGCCGGGATCTCCATCCCCCGTTTCCAAAGGACTCCTCCCAACCCCCCGGGATGTGAACTGATGCCAGGGGTGGGGGTTGAAGCCAAGGGATGAGGTTTGGTCGTTTCTGGGGTTGATATTTAGTTGGGTTTTTTTGGGGGGGGTGAGCAGTTGTCACCTTCCAAATCCTCTGCAGAAGACAACAGAGAAAAGGAAACTTGGGCTCAGTGGATTTCAGTGGGCTGAGATCATTTTATAGGGCTGAAATCCTTTATAGGGCTGAAATTCTTGTGTGGGACTGAAATCCTTGTGTGGGGCTGAAATCCTTTTATAGGGCTGAAATCATTTATAGGGCTGAAATTCTTTTATAGGGCTGAAATCCTCTCTAGGGCTGAAATTCTTTTATAGAGCTGAAATCCTTTATAGGGCTGAAATCCTTTATAGGGCTGAAATTCTTTTATGAGGCTGAAATCATTTATAGGGCTGAAACCCTTGTTCCAGCTGCAAATCCTATTGCTCTCCCTCCAAGCCCAGTAACAGCTGCCCCTCTCTCCAGTTCACAGCCCCAAGCCCAGCAGAGGCTGAAGACTGGGTGGACCAGATCCAGTTCCTCCTGAAGGGTGAGTTTGGCCCCATCCACCGTGTCCCATTTCTTTGGGAAGATCCCGGCAGCCCCTTCCCACCCGGGAACAGTTTGACAACAACAACACCGAGACAAATTTGGAAAAACCCTCTGGAAAGCAGGGGCGGCTCCCCGGACTCCCTTCCTTGAGGCACACACCTGGAATTTGGCTTTGTTCTCTTGGATTTCCCGCTTTTTCCTCGGGCTTTTCCTTTGTTTTGACCAATTCCCAGCTCGTTTACCCCTCTTTTGTTTGTCCCCTCGGGTGCTCCCGGGGGGCAGTTCACACCTTGAGCCGGGGCACAAATATTGGCACAGGATTTCCCGGGATTTGCTGGTTTTCACCCCGTTTTTTTTTGCTCTACCCCCCCAGACCTGAGCTCCCTGACCATCCCCTGCGAGGAGGAGGAGGAGGAGGAGGAAGAGCTCTACAACGACGTGGACAGCTCTGACTCCATGAACACCTCCCACAACACCACCCTGACCCAGGAGGAGCCCAACATGGAGGGGGAAGGGGAGGACATCTACGAGGTCCTGCCAGGTGAGAACCCAAAATCCAAACCATCCCTTTCCTCTTCCTCCCAAAATCCAAACCATCCCTTTCCTCTTCTACCCAAAATCCAAACCATCCCTTTCCTCTTCCTCCCAAAATCCAAACCATCCCTTTCCTCTTCTACCCAAAATCCAAACCATCCCTTTCCTCTTCTCCCCCTGAACGAGGGAGGAAACCTCGGCCACGCCACACCCTGATGGGAATGAACATCTCACGGCCCCAAAACCCGAAGGTTTCACCTCATTTCTTTGCTCAGGCTGGACCCCAAGAACGAACTCTCCCTGTTCTGGGGGTTCTGATCAAACCCTCTGTGTTCTGAAGGGGTTCTGATCAAACCCTCCCTGTTCTGGGGCGTCTCTGATCAAACCCTCCCTGTTCTGGGGGATCTGATCAAACCCTCCGTGTTCTGGGGGGTCTCTGATCAAACCCTCCTTGTTTTGAGGGAATTCTGCTCAGTAAATTCAGGTGAAGCAGCTTTGAGAGGTTTTGCTCCCTCTCAGCTCTGAGTCAGATTGAGTTTGGTGCGTGTGGGATCTCTGGGCTGTGTTACCTGGAAAATCAGAGCTGAGCTGATGGAAAAGCTCCCTCCTGGGCATGGCAGGCGGGGCTCTAACCCAATTACTGCCCTGCCACCAGATGATAAAATAACTGCATTAAAGACGAGCTGGTGCCCTCTCAGGAGGGCTGCACAGACCCCACGGGCTCAGGGGGTGACAGGCCTGCAACGTTTCTGCCTCTGCCAACAGAAATCAGGGGGTGACACAGCCCAGGGCTCGGCCAGCAGGTCACCTGAGCCTCTTCTGCCTTGGCTGAGCTTTTCCAGGGTCCCTGGCTTCCTTGATTAAAGTTTTCCAGCATTCCTGGCTTTCCACCATTCCTGGCTGCCTTGGCCAGGGGTTTCCATAATTCCTGGCTGCCTTGGCTGAGGTTTTCCATTATTCCTGGCTTTCCATCATTCCTGGCTTCCTTGGTTGAGGTTTCCACCATTCCTGGCTTCCTTGATTGAGATTTTCCAGCATTCCTGGTTTTCCAGCATTCCTGGCTGCCTTGACTGAGTGTTTCCACCATTCCTGGCTGCCTTGATTGAGGTTTTCCAGCATTCCTGGCTTTCCATCATTCCTGGCTGCCTTGGCTGAGGTTTTCCAGCATTCCTGGTTACCTTGGCCAAGGGGTTCCACCATTCCTGGCTTCCTTGATTGAGGTTTTCCATCATTCCTGGCTACATTGGCTGAGCTTTTCCATCATTCCTGGCTTTCCATTATTCCTGGCTGCCTTGGCTGAGGTTTTCCAGCATTCCTGGCTGCCCTGGTTGAGGTTTTCCAGCATTCCTGGCTTTCCATTATTCCTGACTTTCCATTATTCCTGACTGCCTTGGCCAGATTTTCCAGCATTCCTGGCTTTCCAGCATTCCTGGTTGCCTTGGCTGAGATTTTCCATCATTCCTGGCTTTCCATCATTCCTGGCTGCCTTGGTTGAGGTTTTCCAGCATTCCTGTCTGCCTTGGCCAGATTTTCCAGAATTCCTGGCTTTCCATCATTCCTGACTGCCTTGACCAGATTTTCCATCATTCCTGGCTGCCTTGGCTGAGGTTTCCAGAATTCCTGGCTTTCCAGCATTCCTGGCTGCCTTGGCACTCCTGTGACCCCCCCAGTGAGCACAGGGAAAATCCCCATCCCAGCTGGAGCTTCTCCCTCCCTCTTGTCCCAAGTGAAAACTGAGAAAGAAGGAAGGAGAAGGGAGGGGGGGGGGGAAAGAAGAGGAGGGAGATGAAGAGATAATTTCCTCAGCAAGTCATCGTCGTTAATGAAGTTTTACAAAAACAGACACAACCAAGGAAAAATAAAATTTCACAGGTGATAAATTTTTCCAATTTCCCTGGCAGAATTCGATAGGATTGTTAAATTAAGAGTGAAGGTGTCTGTTAGGAAGCAACGAGCAGTGATGGGTAATTTTATAGAGTGGAAAATTGAATCAAATTGCTACATTAAAACACAGCTCCTCTGA